TCCTCTAAGCCTTGAGTATCGGGCGCTGCACGACGAATCGAGAGCCCAACGAGGAAACACCGCCGAATTAAGGTCCGGCGGCTTAGGCCTCATGACAACGTTGTCAATCCGCCCGTCCGCCCGTCCGCCCGTCCGTCCCCGTCCTTCTGTCCTCCCGTCCACCCGACCGCTGACCGCCCCATAGTGATACCAAGCCAACTTTTCCCTTCACCGCATGGCCGCATAACAAGTGACAGATCGGAAAAACAAGGTGAAACACTCACGTTCCATTTCAGAAAGTATCCCTCCCGCCGCCGTTCAGCTGTTTTAGTTACCGCCCTTCTTAGGGTTTGTTTACGGTTGCACGCGAGACATCACTGACGAAGATTGTCCGAGTTTCGCTTAGTTATATCGCACCACGCGAGTCCGACAACTAGAAAATTATTTACATAAATGAAAATGTCTTAAGTATTACACATTCAAATAAAAAGAAAACTTCCACGAATGTAAATAAAAGAAAATTGATTTTTCATGGGAATTGTTCAAATACCTTTTCTGGACGTTTCACAGCCAAATTGTGCTGCAAACAACGTGATGAGTGCGTTTGAGGCGTAGCTCCTATCTTATAATTAATACCATTCCCCGACTATCAAAAACTTCGGTACTATGATCTCATAACTCAAATTGTGTTTTAATGCATTGTTTTTATATTTCACTAATGTTGATTGCTTTTCAATTGCATGTCTTTGATCTGACAAACTAAAAAGCTTTACTAGAATTTTTCCTTGAGAGTCGTCTTCTATTACCAAGCATTCATTTTTCAAATAAATAATCTTTAAATACTAAATCTCGCCCGATAGAAAACTCCTGATGTTAAAAAGGAATAAATGGGATGGGTAGTTAAAAACTTTCCTTAAAGTACATTAAATATAAGGTAATCTCACTAGCAGTTAAGTAGCACTTGACCAAAGGTTCGAATGTTAATTCCAATTCACACTAGGCACACAATTTAATAATAACATAATAATAATAAAATTAAATATTTTAATAATTTTTTCACATAAATTAATGAATTCAAAGTTGCGGAGCCTTGAATGAGGAAATTACTTTGCTTGGATGCAAGTTCAAGCAAGCTTCAATGAAACCAAAATCTGAGATATGGTAGAAAAAGCAACCAATTTATTAACAGTATACAAAATAGAACTCCTATCATAACTAAAAGAATTATATGAAAACATTATGTTAATGCGCAAAAGAAAAGAAAATTATCAAACACAGTATCCGCAAACCCTTAAATACATATATAATACACCAATACAATTACACAAAACCTACCAATTATAATACAGTACACAAATTACAATCATAATTACAATATACAAAATTCAATGCAGAAAAAATTACAATGATAATACAATATCACAAAATTCAATACACAACATTTAAACAATACACAAATTTAAAGAAAGAAATTAACAAGGAGGAAATATTATTTTAACTGTAATTGTCGGTAAAATGTAGAACATTTTGTTGTTTCCTCTGTGTCAGTGGAAGTTTCCTGCGAACAAAAAGAGGAATCCTTCAATAGTGCTTCCCGTTTTAGTAAACTTTAATTAGGCTATTCTATTTTTTATAATTGAATATTTCTCTCTTCAAGCACCCATGGCTTGTTCATCGTATTGGGGTTCAACGAAATTATACTTTCCCTAGAAAATCAGCAATATTCTATCCAGTCTCCTAAGCGTACAGTCTGAGAAGATGACTCCGAGCCGACTGCTTCAATGCCGTCAGCAACCAAATGTGGAAGCCTATTGAAGATAAAGTGAAAAGTACTCAAAGACAAAATTTACAATTCATTAATTAAAATATAAATGAAAATATTAAACAATAGGATCAGGATCTCTTGTTAATTTACCCATAAATGACAGTGCAGAATCTGTTTTTCCTGTTAAAACCTACAAAGAAAATGCATGCTGCGAATATGGAAAGACAAATAATGTTTATTACTATACCACACTTCAAAAATTTCAAACATATACCTTAACAGTTCTTCATATTAACACCCGCTCTCCTGATTGTCCTGGTAATGTGGATTAAGCAAGAGGTTCACGTCATCTTCATTATCTCTTCATTCTCTTCATCACTTGAATTGTCTCCTCAAAATTTGATGAAAGGGTTCCACATTTATACTGTCCCATTTCACTTCTCCGATTCCCAGTCTTCTTCAACAATTTTCTCTGTATGTATTTCACATAGTTTTTCCCATCTGAATCAGGTAACTAAAGTTACTCACCTTTAACACCAATACACATTTCCAATGAATTTCTAACGAAATAGATAACCAAACTGTTAAAATATAATATTTTTTTGGGAATTTATCATTCAACTTACTTCTCACTTGTAACTTGATGAAGGGCATTCCTGCCAAACTTGGTTTTACCATGAACACGGATCAAATTGATGGTTCCAACATGAGTTTCTGAATTACCCTCTTGCACATCCATTCCCACACCATTTCTATTGGATTGTCCATCAGTGGACAGTGACACTAGCAGGCCGAGCCTCCAAGTCTCCGCAACACCACGCTCATGTCCAACCGCCAGCGCACTTAAATACCTGCTCACACCAGGGTACCTCTACACACACTCTCTACTACTAGCGAGCCACTGTCACTCGCAATCACTTCATACTTCCACCAACAACACTGGTTCCCTGAATACTACTCTCAACCCGTTCATGCTCCTTATTCTCAGAAGGCCTTTTACACTCCAATATCAAATAATCGACTACCCTGACACACCTACTCATGCCACGCAACATTTCAAATAAACTCACAATTCTTAATGAAGAAAATCCCAGTCAACGCATATATCTCTCAATCACAATTTAAATCTTTGCCCCTGACACACCTACTCCCGATACAGAATTGACAATTCATATCCATACAACGAGAGGGCAACACACGCCAAACCCAAACATCCATCACAGCAACGAACGCAACATCTACATCACACTTTCTCTCAGGCCTTCAGCGTCAATAGCTTGAAGCTCATAATAGCACAACCAGATTCTGACCTCGGTCGCGAAGTGCCACCTCCAGCCCTACCCTACATCGATATCATCCATGTGCACGTTTTCCAGCACACGTACTCCTCTCCAGGACATGACACGTACTTCTGATTCACACTCTCACTGTCAAGCAGTCAATCTCCAGTCTCCGAGAACCTGTCATAAAAAAACAAGTTAAACCCACTCCCAACGGCGCGAACCAACCCCGACACCCAACAACATATACCAAACCCCACCAAAACAACAAAATTATTTCCTTAATTTCCTTTTGAACAATTAAGTCACCATTCATCCTTTGTTGTTCTTGCATTTGCTATTTACAGAATGGAAATATTGCTATTATATTGCTTTCTTACAGTAAGACAGCGCAATGAATATTGCAACTGTTACTTATCTCTCTCTGTTGTGTTGTACAGAATCGTCAGTTGTGTTGCCAGCACTAGCTGTCAAATCATCCCATCCTTAGGAAAATCCTTCTCGAACAACTGGCTTACTCGTTTAACGGATTTTCTCCAAAACTGATATTCTTTTTTTAATGTAAGTAATGTTGTGGCTCCAAGAATTAGATGTAGATATTTTAATTTTGGGGGTACTTTACATGAAGCCCCTGGAACATTTTCCAAATTTCTAAAAAAAGCTTAATTTTTTAAAATCAAATTTGTTGTTGGATAGTGTGAAGGTCGTTTAAGAGAATGGTGCAGATTTCATGTTCGTTAAAAACCCTAATTTTTCCAAAATTGCAAAATTTTAAACTTCCTTCAACTAAAATATTAAAGATATATATTTTTCTCTCAATGGAATGTGTTCCTTAAAGATATATTTTGAAATAAGATCATGTATAATTTTTCGAAAATTTGAGTACTTTTCGCGCGAAGTTTCAGTTTATGGATATCCAAAAATTTATATAGAAATTTGTTACGACAGATTTTCTAAATATATTTTGATCTCAGAAAAATATCGAATACAAAACATCAATATTAAAAGAACATCGGCTTCTAAAAATCAATGTTCAATTCATCAATATTTTTTTTATTTAATAGGTAATTATTACATATACAAATTAAATAACTTAATACTATGTGTCTAGGCTGAAGGCTTTTAAACCATTACAATACCTACCTCCTACCTTGTTCAAACCTCTCGAATTCTTGTATTCACCCAAAATAGTCTCTCTATCGTATCAAAGCAGCGGAAAAGAAACCATAAGGTATGACTGAGGAAAACACCCACGAAGGGGGAGAAACCTGCCGTTACAAGCCGAGTACATGCTAATATACCAAATTGTTTTCTAAACTAGTCATATTCAGGCTTTAGTTTCCTCAGCACTTGAAATGAACCAGCGCCACAGATGATTGTCCCCACCACCGCCTCTGCACTTATACGACCGACATCCTCTACCCTAAACCCCCTAAACCTCCTAATGTTCTCATATAATTGTTTGATGGTTTACTTATTTATTTACTTATTACTTAACAGTAATGATTTTATAAAATCCCTTTCCCCGTGAATCCGCGACTTCTTTCACTATGCGCTGTACGTCCCAAAGCAAAACTCCAATTCCTCTCCGAAGGGCGGGGGGAGGCGGAGGGAGGGCAGGAAGCCCCCCTGGGGCCCGCCCGCCGCCGGCGCGTGCCCCGCGCAGACCTCCGCGGCGGCGCCCCGCGCGCCTCCATTGTTTCTGCGCCGGCGGCCCACTGGCGCCGTGGGTGGCCGCCGCGAGAACTAATTACGGCGCGGCTGTCGCCACTGCCTCGCCGGCTGCTGGGTATAGCTGGTGTAGCGTATCCGCCGCTCCCATCGGAGGCGGATACCCTCTCTTATTGGAGGATAAACTATCCAATGAAAATGTCTATTTACGAAGATCCACGCATAGAAATGTAAAACTAAAACGTTAAAATGTCAAGTTCTATTAATGTCAATGTAAAATTGTTCACTTCGCTGAATGTTCATCTCCCATACACAAATACTAGTGGGAATACGCGGTATATCGAAACGTTTCCTGTTCTTAGTGTTATTGATTGATTAGTGATTCCGAGTACGTCAACTCTTAGGATCATTATTCCTGTAAGTATAGTGCATGCGTTAATCGCGAGAGGTGGCGATGATCTTCCCTCGTTAAAGGCGAGATCTGGCGCCCACCTACCGACGGCTAGCGGGGTTTCCCTCATTCAGGCATCTCCCACCAGCGGCGCACTGCCCCAGCCAGGTCAAGCTCTAACCTCCGGACTGGTCTCCCGTCATGTGAGGTAGTGTAGTGCATGCAAGTGTAAGTGTGTGTGTAAGCAAAGGTTGATGATTTGAAGAATAAGGAATAAGGAATAAGGAATAAGGAATAAGGAATAAGGAATAAGGAATAAGGAATAAGGAATAAGGAATAAGGAATAAGGAATAAGGAATATCGCGCGAGGTCCGTGACTCAATTGTTTGGGTTCTGCTCTGGTAGCACCTGGTGTTGATCGGAGAAATCATGGAAAACTCCCGATTAGAACAGCCGACCGCTAGAATTCTCCTCCAGACAGCGGCTGAATTCGACCTAGCTATCCTAGGTAGTGCTGCCACCAACGGAACTAGAACCCTAAGACCTACTGATCAGATGCCTTGAGCCTATTAAGCCGGTCTTAGTGTTCTTATTCAACAATTTCCCATTTTTTTAAAAAAAAGGGCATGAACATCTTTTTTCAATGAAGTGCTGAAAACATCAAAGCCACAAGAACCAATATGACTGAAAGTGGCTTGCAAAGTTGGGGTGTATCCTAAAACTGCAAGCAGTAACGATGTATTCGGAAAATGAGATATGTGCGATATGCGGCCGTTGAAAAGCTGAAAAATATCTCACTTATTTACTAAAGGGAAAATAGAAAACACAATACACATTGTTTGATGTTGCGGTTGACTTAAGTCTCGAAGACTACTAAAATAAAAGAAGTTTGCAAATTCTGGAACATTTCACTAACTATTTATTGCAAATACAGAATTGAACATGTTCTGGAAATGTAATTGATATATTTTATTTTTACCAAAATCTGTTCGTGTTTATTGTTGGTAATAATAGCAAAGAATTACTGCCGTGTATCTAATCTTAAAAATGTAATACATCACGTACACTAATTATCACCGAGTTTGTTTGGCGAAAATGTGTCAAATGATTGCAAGACATTGCCTAACACTCACTAATCTTTGCTTTTAAAAATACTTTTCGAACATGGTGTTCCACCACAGTTGGCCTTAACCCTGCAGTTCTCAGGCCGCACAAATTTACGAGTTATCTTCCTTTTTAATATTTTTCATCTTAGTAATTACGTGTTTTCAGAAACTTTCTACACACAGTCATTCATTCTTTCGTTTCGGTTATGGAGTAATCAGAAACAGCGGATTCTCAGTCGGACGGGAGCAGTGGCTATTCATTGCAAATACAGAATTGAACATCTTGCGCAAATGTAATTCTTGCTTTTAGTTTCAATAAATAGGTAAAACATGGATTTTTTTATAAAATTAATAAAAGTGGAAACTTCTTAATGTAGTTTTTGGGTTTTCATGCAGTTTTCTTTAACTGTACAATGTAAGTAAAAATGTTTTGTTCAGAAATGCATGAATGTGATACATAATATTTGAAAAACTCTTAATTAATACAGAATAAAATATTTTTGTGTTGATATAAATTTTCTATTAAATTATTTTTAACATTCACATGAATTTTCTAGGAATTTCTAGAAATTTTTTTTATACTGGGAATAAATCCTAATCTACTTTGCCTATATCCACTTTTAGCTAAGTGCGGACTCATAGTCTACCGCGACTACTGTTTGAAAATATGCCGTACTTACTGTAGGTATAACGCACTTTGTCATCCGTCTAACAGCCGAACATATTATCGATTAGTCCGAGCAATTACGAAGTGCAGAACGTTTGCATGGATCCAATTAGCTAATTTTATTGTAGAGAGATTGAAAATTAAAGAAAGGTCGTCATAATGTTTGGATTAGTTATCCCAATATGTTTTATTATTTCACAATACATATGAATTTTGTAACTTTAATATATTTAGAAATATATGTGAAAGTTTTGCTTCCTTGAACATTTTTTATTTAACTCATTGTGGGTAGACGTATTTGCTTCTTCAGTTTTTGCAGACGACATCTTGCCGTGGACGTTTTTGATTCTGAGAGAGAGCATTGTCGAAGAGACATTTCAACGTTTCAGTCTTTCTTTCAGAAGAATAACAAAGATACTCACACTTTGTTCTTGTGTTAGTAGAAGTGAATTCTCAATGTTAATTGGAGGAAGCAAAGTTGCTTGTAGCGCTCTAAGTAGCCTGTCAAAGAACTACAGGAACTATCTGCATTTAGTGGCCTTGTTGCCAATGGTAATTAATTGCTATAAACTATTTTCGGGAAGTAGCATTTTCAGAAAATAAATAAAATTGTAGATCGTACTATCTTAGTTGAGTTTATCTAATTTTTTAATGCACCTCGATCTCGATAAAACTTACATATGCAAGTTATCTAAATGAGGAAAGAAAAGCAGAAAACATGAAACAACTACCAACAAGTAATTTCATTACAAACTTTTTTAATTACTAATCTATTGATGAAATGACTGTTTTTGAATAGGAAAACAACAAATAATGAAGCCATTTCATTAATAAATTTCCGCAGCAAACAACCAAATACTTTTACTCAAGCCAAAATAATGTTCCTAAAAGAGAATTTTATCGTAAAAACAACAGTTATATAGTAATTTGGTCAACTAATAAATACGCAAATATAACGTAAAATGTTCAGAATTAATGTGTTAACTCCTTCACACTCAAGCTGACCTAATATACAATAACAATAATAATACCAAAAAAAATTTTCATTGTAATGTATTCTAACAAACTTACAATTTAATTACTCTAATTTACAATTTTTTGACATTCTGAGGAAAAGTCCAGCCCTGCCTGGGTGCATTTAAAATTCCCGCTAATATTGTGACGCATAACTAGTGCATGAAGCTCATTGGCTGTCTTCCTTCATGGTTTGGACCGTAAATAAATAAACACGAGATCTCAAAGCTCCCACAAAAGGGTCAAGTTCAGGAGAACCGATTGTATAACAATCGCCTCGGCCACCTACTACACCAGCAATACGAGATCTCATGGCGGCTTTGAAACAATGCGTAGAAAGTGCAATGAAACGAATGCTGCAATTATGACGGAACAAATGCTCAAAGAGACAATAACAGAGCGGGGAAGAAGAAAGACGCAATTGAAACTGCAGTTTCAATGTAACGAATGGAAGATTTGTATGAATGTAAATTGAATTACTGCTACCTTGTTCTTGCTGTAATTACGTCCCATCTCATTGGCTGTTGAAGAAGTTGACCCGTGCGTCCGTAGTTTTTGATTTAGCACGGGCGCGAGTATTCGAGACGGTCATTGCAGAACGGAGTACAGTCTCCACGAGTACACGGGACTTAAATGGGCGCCGAGTTATACAGCATTGTCTCTCGTCTCTTCACTTAGGAGTTATGACTTGCTACCTGTGGTTTGGGCTCACTGCAAATGGAATCTACTTAAAGATGGAGATGTTCATCTGCATTTTAGGTTAATGTTGCTGTTGGGGTATCTTAAAAAACTACGTGTTTTAAATATCCTATACTTTAAAGCACTTGATTTCATAATAAATGTTGATGTATCACCATAGTAAATAATTTGTACATGTGGTACATGGATAAGGATAAAATGATATTTAAGATCTAGTTGCTTTCCCTTTCAGATTGCTTGCGAATCGTCACGATATATACGATGGAGAATAGGGTCGGGTATTTAGAACCAACTTGTATAGTGTAATAACAATAGATACGTGATATACGAGAGAAAATACAGTGGACCTATGAGAACCGTCTAAAAATCGGTGCATTGAGTAAACACAAATGCCATGGAAAATAAAACGCTTTTACGGAAAATGGTCGTTCTGCAAATCATATTATTTACTATATTTGTTTATCTAACATGCCCGTATAAAATATTCATGGTTGATGGTACATAAATTTGCTCATGTAAACTTATATATGTAATTTAATTTACAATGTCTTTAAATTTAGAATTCGCAAACTTCCTGAAGTCAAGAGATGTGACACATCATTTTCGAGCTAAGTGTAAAAATGCATGTAGAAAATATTACTTTTTTGAGCAGAAATGCGCAAGAAGATTAGTAATTACATAGAATAAAATGTCTTGCCTTTAGATGCAAACTAAATGGTTACCTCTCCGCATTAAAACTGTTCTGAAGTAGAATGATGGTTTTTGAAATGTGTCAGTTTTCTTGAGAACTGCTCATTTCAGCACTCTACACTTCCAGTCAAACTAACTTCTGATATTGGAAATCAATGTTTCCTTAGGCTGAGCTAGATCCCATTTACATTTCTTTGGAGTATATAATACATTTAATGTATTATATATAATTTGGATTGTATAATTGTAAAGAACCTGTAACAAGTATTGTACTTCAGCTTCTGGATCAATGGTCCCCATTTCGATTAGGTTTTCGTCCAGTTTCCCTGATCCTCGTGCAAATGCTGAGATGGCCCCTTGTTTTGCCTCTGGACATAAATGTAACTTCAAATTAACATCTCCCCATAGCATGTCATGCACAGTTTTTAGCGGTTTTCGACGTAAATAAATAAATAAAAAAGGTATTATTTTGAACTGTTCAGTACACATTTACACCCTTGCAGATTCTTTTGATCTAATGTCCGCTCACGGCTTCCTGTACCTAGCCTGGATAAGTATCTTGCTCTGAAGGCATTATAGCTTCTTGCTTTGCAATGAACAGTTTCTGTCATTTCTGTCCACTGTCAATTTTTTTTCGTCAGCCAAGATGTTTCTCTTACGTGTACTGTTCTGGCTTTACCATTCTCTTTCAGAATTACTCTGGGAATTTGATGTTTGTCATTCCGCATGATACGGTCGGAGAACAACATTTTTCATCGTCACACATTTTGTCGTTTCTCTTCTTTACAATCTAAAGGCCATTTTTACATCGTCGTGTCTCTACTCTGTAGCGAGGACGTAAGAAATTGTATAGAGGGAGAAATGCGCCTTAGAAGTGCGGACGCCTCGTGGGCTTGCAGCACCAGCAGACGCGATTAACGCACACGCAACGCACAAGACGCTTCTTATAAGTGTGCGTGGGCGAGACGGAGATGCTCTCATGAAAATTCAAGCGGCCTCCGAATTCGTGATTTCGCGTTTAAGGACCAGGAAGTCCAGTTCCAGCACCACTCCTTACAGCCTCGTGACATTTACGCTGGTTGGTTGGTGGGTTGTTTGAGATTTCGAGCGCGTCAACTGCAAAGGTTGTTAGTCCCGAAGTGCATGTTTTTTTCATCGGGAGGTGGCTTGAAGCTTCCCCGCTGGATGGTGAAATCCGGCGTCGACCTACCGTCGGCTAGCAGGGTTTTTCCAGCCAGGTATCTCCCTCCAGCGGGACACTGGGACACAAGCTCTGAACTCCCGACCGTTCTCCCGGTGTGTGTGGCTGTGTAGTGCGTGTAAGTGTGAGAATGTGTGAGGGTTGAGGATAGAAGGAAGGGGAAGGAAAGATCTCGCGCGGTCCGTGGTCCGTTTCTTAGGGTACAGCTCCGGCTTTCGCCTGGTGTTGATCGGAGAAACCGTGGAGAACTACCGATCAGAGCACCCTCCCGCTAGAATTCTCCAGACAGCGGCAGAATTCGTCGTAGCTATCTAGCTAATGTGGGAAATTCTGCCACCGTGAGGAGTGGGGCCCTAGAACCTTCCGTTCAGAGGCACTGCAGTGACGTCAGCTGATGCCCTGAGCCACCTCTCCCAGTAACTTCGCTCGTAACCTAGCAGTGTAGGTAGTGTGGAAAATGCTGCCACCGTGGGGAGTGTAACCCTAGGACCTCCCGGTCAGAGGCACTGCAGTGTCATCTACTGACGCCCTGAGCCACCTCTCCCGGTTTTTCGCGTTTAAGGACCTCGAGGGCCCACCCGATCCCCACTCCTCTCAGCCTCGTGACATTTCCGCGGTCACTTGGGATTCTGGTGGGCCGCGTCCTCGCACCCACGTGTTGAGGGGGCGCGGAGCCCCACGCAGTGACTGAGGCTGGCGCTCGTTCGTTCAACCGGATGGGAGCGACGTGCTTATTCCGTAACTCAACGCCGCCCACTGTCAGCGCAGCGTAATTAGACGTCTCCGAGAAACGTCGGAATTTGGGATGTTTCGCTGGTCGTGGAGGTGAGTGATTGATTAGGCGTTCCCGACGCGACAACTACTTTGTTTAATGGCACTTTCATAGTAATATTATTTTTATTATTATTATTGTTATTAATATTATTAATAATAATAACAGTAATAATAATAACAGTAATAATAATAATAATAATAATAATAATAATAATAATAATAATAATAATAATAGTAATAATAATGTATTTCGGTCGAGGCATGCCACAGGGGCTAATCTTGCGCCTAAACACTTATTACAATTTACAATTACATAATTGCAATTGTGTCGTTTGAGTGTGGTTTATTACTAACAAGTAAACATTTGTCGTATTCGTGAAGATAAAAAATAAACAATAATAATGATGAATGTAAAGTACTCTAAAAATTTAAAGAGTTTTTTCAAAATCGTAGAACTTCGAGTAATTCCAGATTGTTCGGGAAATATTTATTTTAACAAAACTCTTACGAAGTGTTGTACACATTCGGTGGGATGTTTAGAAAAACTAACAAAAAAAACCAACATTTTTTAGCATAGCGTTTAGAACAAAGTGAAGGCGAAGGGAAGATATTCCATTTCCGAACGAACAGGTCAAAGCAATGTGGCCGTTTCGATAGATTACTAGTGATTCTGGACGCGTTAACTGCTAAGGCCATTAGTCCCGTAAGTGTAGTTTTTGTCTTGGGAGGTGGCTGTGGTCTTACCCCACTGGATGGCCAGATCCGGCGCCGGCCTACCGTCGGCTAGCGGGGTTTCCCTAACCAGGTATCTCCCACCAGCATGGCACCGCCTTACCAGTATCGAACTCTAAGCTGCTCTCTCTGGTCTTTCCCGGCAGTTTAGTGCGTGTAAGTGTGCGTAAGGAGTGAGGATAAGTCAAGGAAGAGGAAGGAAATATCGCGCGCGGTTTGTGGCCCGTTTGTTAGGGTACAGCTCCGGCATTCGCCTGGTGCCGATCGGAGAAACCACAGAAAACTACCGATCAGTCCGTCCACTAGATTTCTCTTCCAGGGAGGGCTGAACTCGACCTGGCGCGGCAATTTCGTGGTGTTGTCGGAAGAAACCACGAAAAACTATCCCTAAGAGCGTCCGTCCGCTAGAATTCCCCTCCAGCCAATGGTTGCATTGGACCTGGCTCTGTAGCTAGTGTCATGGAGCCCCAGGAGCTCCCGGTCGGACGCTCTGCCGTGGCAGCAGTCGGTGCCCTGAGCCGGTTTGGACTCCCTGTGCGGGGGTTGGGCGCGGCAGTGACGAGTGACGAGCGACGAGCGGAGGTGTGGAGTGAAGTGGCGCCCTCTGACCCGCCGCCTCCACCGCCCGCGCCCCGCCCGCGCCCTGCCCGCGCCCCGCCCGGCTCCTGTGGGCGAGCGGGCAGCCTGCCCGCGCACGCGCACGCGCACTCGAGTTCTCGTTGCTAGCCGGCTGACACGCCGCACAAAGAAAACTAAACGGTCTTGGACGCCGCGTCGAAGGCTGTGTTGTCGACGTTTCGATCATCTTGTCGGGGTCTTCCTCAGAGCAGGTCTGGTCGCAGATCAGCCCTGAGGAAGACCGCGATAAGATTGTCAAGATCATTTACATGGCTCCAGCCGCACAAACATACGACTTAATCCATCGTGTGGTCTTCTTCAGGGCTGGTCTGCGGACCAACTATAAGACCAGATAAGATGGTCAAAACGTTGGCAACGCAGCCTTCGACGCGGCGTCACCCGGACAGCCAAGATCATGCACATGACTCCGGCCGCGAAAGTCTACGACTTCATACTAAGAAATCTAGCTCATACGTTGAGGCTAATTTATTTATTTTGCGTCAAAAACACTTAAAAACTGTTTAAAGTTTCACTCACTCATAGTATTGATCCGTTGTAGTTTATAGAAGGTGATTCTGCAAGATTATTTAAAAAACAAACAAATACAAAGGTTATTAACTCGTCAACATGTTTATTCACATTAAAACATCATAAGTTTAATTCTACCCTTTCTAAACTTATTTTAAAGTAGTTCTAAACTTATATTTTAATGTAAATAAACATGTTGACGTGTTAATAACCTTTGTATTTGTTTTTTAATTATCTTGCAGAATTACCTTCTATAAATGGAATGGGACAATACGAATGAGAAATACTTTAAGAGACAGTGAAATCATTGAAAAAATAATTTAAAAACTGTGTGTGGTGTGCTACGGGGAGAAGTGTGGGAGTGTATTCTGTGCCCGTTCAGGGAACTCAAACCTTATAGAAGTTGAATTCTAAATGCAGAAAGAAATGAGCACTTTTGGCTAGAATTATGAACAAAATATTCGTTCCGATGTAATAAAATCTATTTTGAAACGCAAAATAGCTCTAGATTTTGGTTCCTATTCCTCGTAATGTCCTTTGTGAAGGAATGCACTTGAGGCATTGATAACGATCATTTGAATAACTATATTTCCCACTGAATTCTAGAAGACGCGCACAGATAATGAAGTTATATTCATGTCGAGAAGCAAAACAAACTGGCATCTAGCATTTTCTCAATAGATCAGGGAAACTGGACGAAAAACCTGATCATGATGGAGGACATTGATCCAGATTAAGTGCTTTTGCCCCCAAATTTTAGGCTTTTGCAGTTTTCTCAAAATAAGTGCTAAGCCACTTTTACAATAATGTCAGATACACAAAATCAAAAATAAAATATACAACGAAATTTCTTGCACAGGGATTATAGGCTCACAAAATTACTAATACTCTTTATTATTATTATTATTATTATTATTATTATTAATTTATTTTGTAAAACGTATTAACAAATTGTAACTCTCGGATCCCAAAGTAAGGAAAGACAACATTGCAAAGAAGAATGAAAAAAAAGATACATTTGACGTTGTATATGCATTTCTATAGCTAGTTTTCTAAATTGAATGTTCTTTTTGTTTACCTTCTACTGCTAAGGGTCTAACTGGCCAAAATCATGTAACTATTCAATAAAAAAATAGTGTTTTGATATAAAAGCAGTTAGTAAGAGCAAATTATAACATAATAAGGACCACTACCTTTCATACCAGCAAATATATCGACATTTTGTCGAGTAAAAAGCTCCGATTACTTTCTAAACGAAATCCCTAAGTGTTTAAATACATAAATTATCAGCATCGCCATAGATATTCTATTTATATTGTTATTAATAATTTATTAATATTATTTCCAGTTCCTCGGGCACCATTGGCACCATGCTATCTCTCCGTGGCGCGATCACGGCATCGGCTCCCGGACGAGAAGGCCGTGGCTTTCACTGCAACCGTTTCAGTTGCGGAAAAGGTTCGTGCTCCGCATATGTGTTCTTTACCCTCAGGAGTCGACAATAAATAACTATTGGTGCTAAAACAGCGCGTACTTTCTCGCCCATATTTTAACGCAAAATTACATAAAAGTACTCAAATTTTCGAAAACTTGTGCATGACTGTCTTTATGGAATATGTAGTGTCTGTCTTTGTACATGTACTGTCTTTAGGGAATATAAGTCAATTAAGGAAAAAATTACATCTTCGTAATTGTAGTTGAAGGAAGACACCGAAATGTTTTTGAATTTTTTGCAATTTTCAAAAAATCAGAATTTTCAATGAACATGAGACCTATTAAACGTCCTTTATATTATCTAACAACAAAATGTAATAAAAAACGACGGAGTAACTTTTTTTGATAATTTTGACAATGTTTCAGGGGATTTGTGTAAAGTACCACCAAAATTAAAATACCGGTTTCAAATTTAATGGGACGCGATCTCAGCCAGATCAATTCTGGAATATCAGTTTTGGAGAAAATCGGATAAAAGGATTACTCGCTAACGTTGTTCACAGACTGACATATTTTTTTGCCGTCTGTCGAATTTTAGGCATCGAGGACCCACAAAACATGTATTCTGGCTACACCACGTGTTAGAGAATTTGTTTTCTAATTTTAGCAATTAGGTTTAACCACATTTTCGTTACCAGGGCCCTGTAATGGGCGTTTTTCTGCCGAAAATTCGCGGTTTTCTTGGTCAGCATTACATAACTTTCTTTCTACCTAGTACGAGAAAGTTAAAGCATGGCCCAGATCTAGCAACACCGCTAGCTGGAAAAATTCAGACCAATCCAACCATATAATGCTAAACACAATATTTTTTATTTATCTCTTTTTATGGGTTTTGGATATCTTGGTCCTTAAATTACCGAAGACAGCAAAGGTTTACTCATGTAGTGGGCACGAAACGTAGTTTGGCGCACAGCTTAAGTACAACAAATGAAATACTCTTGTTTAATACCCAATAAAATAAATATTTTTACAAAACAATCTTCACAAATACTGAAATAACATTCAATAATATGTTGAAGTACAATAGCATATATACATAACAACACTCCTACACTTAGCAAGAATATCAAATAAAGTTGCTGTGCCATCACGCTGTGCTGTATGAACGTATCTCTCGGCCGGAAGAGACGTAGTTTTCTTTCACTGTCTACGTGCTTTGGAAATTAAAAGGAAAGGTGTTTTTGAATTTTTCCCGATTTCGTGGGTATCTAACGAAACGTAGACCCCATTGCAAGGCAGAATCCTTCATACTTTCATTTTATTTTCGGAGGGATATTAGCAATAAATATATGTGACAAACAGAACACACTTGTATGTTTTAATATACAATATTCAAAAATTAATGTTTCAAATATAATATTACATCAAGAAGACGTCAAGCAATCATGTCATTTTGATATAAATTATTTTTGTTTTGAATTATTTTTTATTTCGCTAGGGACGAAAATCCTTGTTTATGTAGCCAAAGAAATAAGCACAGCGAATTTCTGAACTATAAAATGTTATAAAAGATCATTTAAATCTGTTAAACTAATATTAAGTCGTTTCCCTAACGGCCAGTCTACATGCACGTAAGAAATTTTATTATTTTCACTCACTTCCTCTCTTGAAAGTTATATTCGCTGTGCCTGTGTTTTTATGTTCTTATTTAATTTTCTCATAATTGGTATATTCATATGGTTTTCCTCGCTCGTAATAAAATCGTTTCCAACCATTTTAAATATCGCCTAACGCTAGAAAATAAAATATAAAAAATATTTGAAAATTAATCTTAATTTTTGCTTAGCGAAATTTAGTTGTAAAAGTTTTTAGAGCTCAACTGCCACTTACAAATATTTTGCTGACATTGAATGATGTTGTTCAACTGGCTGACTTGACCCGGATGGTGATTTCCAGAAACGAAACACGTTTTGCTCCATAGTCGTTTCCTAGAAGACTTATGAGAAGACCACATCCTGCAAGTGTCTGTAAAATATTTCTGCGAACAGCTGTCGCCGAGAGAGTAGTCTTGGGAGAAATCCGACCGTTTTACTGCAGAGAGCGCACCAACAGTAATGTTCTTGGTAGATGAGAGACTGGGATTGGGTTGAGTTTCTCACTGCTCTGCAAAACGACCGAAATTTTAGATGACGTACTGAGCAAGAGCATAATGAAAGCTTTCCATATAACGGTGAAAATATCAGTGTGATGGTTTCCTAGTTGTTTTCTCATTATTCTTGATTATTATCTGATATATTAGATTGAATCTGATGTTCTTATATATCTGTGCTAAGCAGTGCTAAGCAGTAAGTCAACAGTTTGTTGGCTGTATGATAACTTGGAATAATTTATAAGTGTAAGTGTAAATAAGTATACGTGTGCAAATATATAAAAAGTCATTAAATAAATGAGTTGATTTATGAAATAGGTGATCCAAATTTTGTCTGACGAACAGAGTGGATTTTTTTCATTCTGACCTTGTGAATTTGTTTTACGAAGTTTGTTTGTTGAACTAGAATTTGAGATACGTGTGATACGCTGCAAGTTACTGTTGGTTGCTGCGAAAACTGATACATGCTTGTGAATTTCCCTTTAAAATCATTAAAATTTAATAGAAGGCTGTTTTTATTAAATACGTTATATCTAGTAATTTAGAGAGAAAACTGAACGTCTGTGCCAATCAACATTTCTTACGTTTCTTACGAATAAAATAAATACAAACTGTAAGGGGATTGTCTCTTCATTCCTAGAAAGAAGAAAAGAAACACATCTCTACTTTGAGCTTTTAAAAAATTATAAATGGTTTTCTGTTTTCTTTTTGACATTTAAACATATAGGATTCTTATAAAAGCTACGAAAAACAGTAGTTGAATTATAGTACCCAAACTACATTGAACTTGATATAATAGTTACATAAGCCAACCTAGCAAGTTGCAAGTTAAGTTCATCTCGCCTCTTCAATCCCTCGATAGTCGTTACAATTGAAATCACTCACTGCACTTTAATAAAACTCTGTCAAGTGCTAACGCAAGAGAAGGAATAACTGTGAAGCTATTTATTTCGCTCTTGACGTTTTGTTCAACTGTCCCATTCACTTTTGCATTTCATTCCAAATTATACATATTATTTTCTTACATGGGATATCTTTCATCAAACCGCACCTACAATAATTCGTTGCTATTTCTGATTTTCAGTTAAATGGAAGATGCGTAGATAGCACTGCTCTACATGTTGAAAAAAGTATTTTCTTTTCATTTTGAATGCTTTCCCCCTAATTTTGGAGTGCTGATTCCAAATAAGTTAACGGTTGTTCTCTATCACGTCCAGTTCGTTTAAAAAATGAAAAGAACACTTTAATATGTACCCATTAACGATATGTATCATTTATACACTTCTGCAGGATCACTGTCATGATTAAGACAGTGGTGTGTATTATAATTATGTCATCATGTAACTGTAAACATAGTGCACGTACATTTCATAGGAACTACCAACAATTGGTATTATTATAGGCGTATTACCACAATATCTCGACTGAAGTCTCAAAGATAATTGATATTTTTAATATTTTACAAACAGAACTTTTCTTCGTTTTGCACGTCTTCTATGAGCAGGAGAAGTACACTTTCCCTTTCCAGGAAATAACAGTAGTCTGCCATTATGTTAACAGTTCAATCTCCATGACTCCATGAAATCATCTTTCAAATCTTGGTGAAAACGTTCACCGTGTATCTCGCTGTAAAATACAAGACAATATGGAAAGTGGTCAAAGTGAGCACGTAGGAAATACATCTGCAAACTCATGTTACAGCCTAGTTTTCTCGTATTTTCCAACAATGATTTTTTGTTATCGAACTCCTTCCATTTCCTAGAATGATTTTATAACATATTTGTAGCTATTACAGGCTTGCTTTTATATTTGGCTAATTGTATTCTCGAAATTCGGGTCTCACATTAATTTCCTGAACTGTGCTTTCAGCTTATCTCGAGTCGATTTGTGATAAACACTACACGTTCTTAACATTCACTGTCTCTGTCAATGGTACGTACAAACTGATGTGAATCCCGAAGCACATGAAATGGTGTAATCACAGTTTAAACATTATAAAACTGCCGATGAGAGCAGCCGGCCGCTAGAATTCTTCTCCACACAGTGCTCGTGTTTTGTTGGTCGTTTTCTCTCTTTCGGGCGTGACAACGGAGTCGGTGTGGTCTGAAGTTCGCACTGCGTTGGTGCAACTGGCTCGGGGTAGACAGACACCAACTCCCGTTGACGTTCAATGTTTAGGAGCTTGAAATTATGAAGAACAAGCGAAAACATTCTAAGTTCTGAACATCAATCATTTTATCGTCACATTAATAGTTGAAAGACACACTACAGACGTCACAGTGTTCACGGGCAACGAACTTTTATGAATAAAAAGTTGAGTTTATATTTTAAGAACAGTTTCCCCCGTTAACTCAAAACCGACAAAATGTGACATGGAACCATTTTGTTTGCGCCGATTCAAATACATCGACGAGTTAATAATCGATGTTGTTAAACATTGATGTCGCGAACTCAACCGGCCAGCCCGCTCCCGCACGTGCAGAAGCTCAGAAGCGCAATCGATTGCTCAAAAGGACTCGACCGAACGGCACGTTCCCCCCGCCACGCCACCGCATCCATCCACGCCACACACCCCGTCCCTCCGATGGATTGCACTTCTCCTCCGCCGCCATCCGGAGCACGTACCACGTTCCACGTTCCCACGCTCCGTAGGCGCAGAGCCCGCGTATTGCTATCGATTGCATGATCAATCGACGGCCATTACGAGCGATCGCTAGTTATACGCCGCGCATCCCGACAAATCGACCAAAAGAAGGGTCGACCGCGATGCGGCGCTGATAGGCGGAGAAGACGTATGGTTTGTTTGGCGTCGCCGGCGCCCCGCGCGCGCGGGGCGGCAGTGGGGGCGAAACAGAGCAACCCGGGACACAATCAGGGACGCCTGAAAGCGGTCGCCTTGGGTTGTTGGCGATTTATATAACAAGATCGCTCCCGTAAATGTAGTGCGTGTTTTTTCGGGAGGTGGCTATGATCTTCCCCAACTGGATGGCGAGATGCGGTGCAGACCTACCGTCGGCTAGCTTGGTTTTCTCCGACAAGGTATCTCTCTCCAGCGGAGCCCCGCCCCATGCGGGACAAGCTCTTAGCTCCCGACTGGTCTCCCGGCATGTGCCGTTGGTTCGTCATTGTTGATTCCGGGCGCTTCAAATAACGAGGTCGTTAGTCCCGTAAGTGTAGTGCGAGGTTTTTCCTTGGGAGGGGGCTGTGGACTCCCGCTGGATGGCGAGACACGGCGCCGTCCAATTGTCAGCTAGCGTGGTTGCCCCCAACCAGGTATCTCCCATCCCCACCATTTTAGTCAACGCAAGCTCTAAACTCTCGGCCCGTCTCCTGTCATGTAGGGGTTGGTTGGTTTATACCTTAGTGATTCCGGGCACGCCAGCTACGGAAGTCATTCGTTCCGTAAGTGTAGTGCATGTTTTCCACATGATACCAATTTAAATGGGAGAAGCCAGGAATGGGCAACTCCCAGGGAGCCCACTTCATAGAAGTCTAGCGAGGTCTTGGGAAGGGAGGGTTTCAATAAGGGCCTTCAGGTCAGCAGGGGCCCGATCTAAAAGATGTGTGTGTGTGTGTGTGTGTGTGTGTGTGTATTCTGATTTAAATGTAGTGTCCCTTCAACGTCACGAGTTCGAAGGAGAGGAGGACACTGTCATCCAATCAGGAGCTTCAATACCACAATTTAACTCGTAATGTGGATCACGATTCAATGGCAGTGTCCCCCTCTCCTAACTCGTGACCTCTCTCTCTCTCTCTCTCTCTCTTTCTTTCTCTTTTTATCACCCTCTCTCTTTCTCTTTTTTCTCTCTTTCTCTCTGTCTCTTTCTTTTTCTCTCTTTTTCTTTTTTTCTCTCCTTCTATGTCTTTTTCTCTCTCCCTCTCTCTCTTCTTACTTTCTCGGACCTGCATTCATAAATATCTATCAGCACAGGCATGAATTCATGCTTTTACAATCACTTCTCTCAACAAAATGTTTTGAAATCATGGGAGCCGTCGGTTAATTCACAGTTTTTCTTATGTTGATCGAGAAGATTTTTTTGGCTTTAATAATTTCAGTTGTTTTCTGTCGTAGTTTTCAAAAAACACACTTAACAGAAGACTCAGCCCTTGCTCAACCTACGGTTGCAAAAACGCACTAAACTTGAAAGGTAATAAATACATTCGATTTTAGTGAGGTATTGAAGGAATCACTTCAATAATACGGTTTGAAATTTTCGGTTTTAACCTACAAGTTTTCGGTTCTTTTTAGCTGCAACTTCTTGATCTTCACTAATAAAACATTACCTTGATGCTCGCACACGCGTTTGGTCTAAGGTCTATACTGTGTCAAAGATGATTAAGAAGGGTCCATATAAAAATCTTAAGAAATCTTAAGAAGCCCATATAAAAATCTTCAAAAATTGAATTTTTCAAAATGGTAATTACAATAGTTAGTTATTAAAATAACATCTTTGCTAAGTTTCACGATCGTATTTCTTGTCTAAGAGAGCTTTAAAAAATTTAAATGCCTGAACACCAGGCACTGGCCGTGACCCCTTAATATAATGTCAGTTTCAGTTCACTTTTTATTTGGCTGTAAATCAAGATACGTTAAGGCTTTTTGATGCGTTGGTAGTTTCATGGCACAAATAAGACTGTCATACAAATATACATAGACATACCAAACTAATTTTATGCTATTCCTTTTACTCTTTGCTTTCTTTCGCTTTGTTTGTTGTTTTTGTAAGTTTTTGTAAACAAACGTTTTGTTTGGTAAATATGAAGTTAGCATGTGCTATGAGATGTATTTGTGTGGGTGGAGAAGGAACTAATACTTTTGTGGCATTATAAACATACCATAACCAGTAGCCTATTTCAAGGGCTTGAACAATACATTACGCAATGGTCTAGAATTTGTGTGTGGTGAATTTCTGGTGGTATGGAATTTGTGTTTGGTGAAGCTCTTTGATGCATTGGTAGTTCCATGGCAAAAATAAGACTGTCATACATAGGCAAGCCAAACTAATTTTATGCTATTCCTTTTACTCTTTGCTTTGTGTTGTAAACACGCTTTTTTATGTAAACAAACAGCCTGGTCTTGTTATTTGTGATACCAGCGAGACTGGAGTATGCATGTGGATTATTTCATGAATAGTTCTGTTATATTTACAGGAAGTTTCAGTTTATCAATATAACCTGCAAGAAGGCGAAAGAGAGAGAATTGAAAACATCAGGAGGAAACGTGTTTTAGAGGTAAGTCCTGCATCTGTCCTGCATCTGTTAAAAAAATTGTGGAAGGTATTTATTTATAATTGTAGGAGATAGAATGTAGTAACTTCAGAATTGTGGATTTGTCAATTGTATCAGCTATTATAAATCGTATTTGTGTGTGTAAATCTTGTGGAACGAAAATTTGAAACTTATTGATGAAAACAACAGAAATGGTATTGAGTGTTCTTTACAAATTCTATGAGAAAAGTATAGTTCTGACACTGGATTTAAAACTTTTACTTCTAGCAACGACATATCAAAAGCAAATATGAGGTTAACACATGCTATGACATGTATTTGTGTGGATAGAGAAGGAAATAATACATTTTGCGGCATTATGAACATACCCCATCCAGTTGCCTATTGCAAATGCTTGAACAATATATTACGCAATGGTCTGGAATTAGTGTGTAGTGAATCAATGGCAGAAGCTGCGAAAGAAGTGACTGAGAACAGTAAAGCATATAGTAAAGATCTTAGTGTACCTTGTGAAGGATGAAGAGGGTCTATACATCACAGTATATTAACTATTATTAGTGTGAACACGGGTGAAAGCCAGGATGTTGAGGTAACCAGTAAACACTGTTTGTGTTCTAAGAAAGTAATTTCCTGATCTAAATACAGACATAGAGTGGCAAAATATTCATAAATGAACTTGTAGCAACAATTATGAGAGATTATGTGGTGGAATGGAGGCTGCATATAACCATTGATAAATACTGTGTTCGATATGTAGACAGTACATTGGAGATGGTAACTCAAGTTCTTTCAAGAGTATATTAGAGAGTGAGCCATATATTGTACTATCCAGAATGTGTAGGGCATGTTGAAAAAAAGGATGGTTGTAGGTTGAAGATTATAAAAATATGTGAGGTAAACGGTTGGAAGATGGAAAAGGCATTGTTGTATCTGCACTCCTGCCTCAGAAAGAAGTAAAAAATTTACAAATTTATTTTGTTAATGCAATTAGAAACAAGAAAGGAAATTTGGAAGGGCTGAGCAAAGCTATCTAGAAATTTTCATTCATCATATTTCACCAGATATAACCCCACAGAATGGACTTTGTGGGTCTTGGTGTCCTCAAAACAAGGCTGAACTAAGTAGAGAGGTTAATCACAAACACAGTTTACCGCTATCTATTATGAACATAATAAAGCCAGTCTTTAGATCATTCTGACCCAGAATTATTATGAAAATGTCTACTTGAGATGACAAAATCAGAATGAAAATTCGGATAATTTAATATGTAATCGCTGCCCCAAAATTGTATGTGTAGCTCCCACAATAGTTCAAATAGCAAACTTTGATGTTTTAGTAATATGTGGAAATGCTGGAAGAATAAAAATATTCAGCTTTTTGGATTTCAACCAGTATTTTTTATGAGAACTATTTTAAAAGAAGTTGTCTACAGAGAAACAAGGGCATCTGAAAATTCACAGCGGGACAACAAGCTAGTCAGAAGAAACCAATTAATAGAGCAGCAGTAGGAGGCTCCCAAAACAATGAGTATGAAGCAGGAAAATTCTAAAACATCAAGTGAGTGAATCAGAAAGCATTTTAGTTTTGTATGAAAAGTTTTGATTGATATTATCCACAACCTATATTTTTGGTTGTATAAAGAACATTATCTCCTAAACTAGTCTATCAATATTAATCAAACTTAACATGAGCAATTAAGGCTGTTATTGCTATAAACTCTTGGAATTAATTTGTTTAAAGGATGAATAGAATTTTTATAGAAGAGCTTCGTGGGGGAAATATTGATAGCTTTTATATTCGTATATGAAAAAATATCTCCTATGAATACCAAAAGTAAGGAGACAAAACACTACAAAAATTTGACAATATGATTCACAGAATAATGTATAAAACTTGTAAACTTCTAGCTACAATAGTTTTTAAAAAAATATCCTTAAATTTTACTAACAATTGCAAAACTTTTTTTATTATACTGTCAATAATCTTTTTTTAATTTTATAAAAAGCATGCATTAAAAGAAGTAAATTAAACTAGCCGAACAAGATTAAATCATTTGACTTAAAAATTGTCTTAAAAAAATTTTAATCTGAAACGTGTTCTTCCTGTTTGCCTTCCCGACTCGTGCAGGTGTCGAGGAGATACAATTTTGTCTCCGAAAATTGGGATTTCTGTCGATGGAAATATCATGCGTAACACTGTTTCATTAGGAGCTTTTGTGCTACAACTCAGTAAATAAGTCACGAGGAAGATCTAGTTTTGCCGTACCGGAATATAAGATACTTTAATTTATGGGGTACATTAGATGTAGCTCGTAAGGAATTCCAAACTTTTTAGAAAAATACCTGACATTTTTTTTCTAGAATAGAATGAAGTGCATTTTATGTGATACAATTCTGAGTTTCCTCCAATCTATTATATTTCAAAAATTGCGAAGTGGGTGAACCTGTTCTACATCTCTGGTATTAAAGCCAGATATTTTTCCCAAATGCTTGTGCTCAGAATCCACTGTATCAATTACTCTGGAGTTATTATAGTGGATTGTAATATTAACATTAAAGACTACCTTTTAATGTACAAATTTCTTGAAAAGAAAGGTAAATTGTTATTTTACATTCTCTTAAACTATAGTTTGTAAAAAAAGTATTTTATTATAAATGCAAATCTGATAAATCTGCCTCCATATACGTGAAACTCACTCGTTGCTCGTAGTTAATAGCAAGGAAATACATAAATTCATTTTCCTGTTCCTTTGCGGATCTAAAAAAATGTATTCTAATATGGGAAATTATATAGATTCGTTCACTCGCCTTCATTTGCGTTGATCGAGAGAAAGTTCATCTCTCAAATTATTACGCGTGACGTCAGCGCGAAGCAGTTAAACAGTGACGCAAGCCTTCATCCATCACCGCACGCAACCCATTCACAATTCGTCTCTACTACAGCATTACGAGGGTGAACAAATCGATAGTTAAAAATACAGTTGACGCTCGCCGGTTTGATGCGCAGAGGAGAATTTGGAAGTGTAGGAGGCTTGGCTTTACAGTAGAATCTCTCTATTCCGAATACGTGTGCTCTGTTGGGATTCGGAAATGTTCGCATTATCCGAAAAAATGTACCGTACATAAACAAATACATCTATAGGATTACCAGTCACATTGCAACGTAGCGTGCGATGGGGAAAACGGCAAAGTAGCGTAGCGATCGCTTCATCAAGCAGATTCAATTCCTTTCGGCAAATAAAGTTTACCGATTTTGCATGTTCCTTTAGGAGAAAATTACTGCGACACATACATGTTACATATATCCTTGTTACCAATGCAATAAAGTTTTCATTTCGACAACTTATTTCAATACTTATCAGTTCTACAGTATTTTCTAGATCCCTAATTCTGTTCGGATTATACGAAATTTCGGATTTGCGGAGTACATCATTGCACATCATTTTGAGTAACATGTGCTTTTATAAATTCAGTGGTGCTAGCAAATAGTACTACTCAATATGAATTAGGAAATGAAACCACATCAATAAAAATTTAAACATTCATTACAACTAGTACCCAAAGTCAACTTCCGAATCTACTTCATCTTCAGTGCGACTGTAACAATGCAAGAAGGGAATATAAGAAATAATATCGAATCTTGGAAGAACAAAAATAACTATAAGAAAAAATAATTATATGAAAAATTCATTTTTATAAACTAATTTTTATTTTCTTAAAAAAGTCTTACAAATATTTTTCTTACATTTTGGCGATACATGTTAAAATAAATATTAAAACTTACATGTTTGTTTCATTATTTTTTAATTCATATTAATTGATATCACATACACGGGTTCCAAACTGAATACAAATAATCCATATTTATTTAATTTCTAATGCTACCTGATGACAATTTAAAATATTTACATTGTTTTGAAAGTAATAAAACAGAGAAGAGACTAGTTTTACGTGCATTTCTAATGAGGCAATTAGAGGTCTTTGCAAGGTAGACCTTAAAATATTTTCTTGAGTACACGCCCAATTAACTGTCAGATTCTGGGGGCACTAACTGCTAAGAGTATTAGTTCTGTACCTATAGTGCATGTTCCCCCTAGGATGCGATAATCTTCTCCATTTGATGGCGAGATCCGGCGCCGATCTATCATAGGCGAGCGGGGTTTTTCCTAACCAGGTATCTCCCGACAAGTGGGGTATGGCTCCAGTCGTGGCATGCTGTAAGCTCCCAACCGGTCTCCGGCATGCGAGTGAGGATAAGCCAAAGATGATAAAGGAAAGATCGCGCGCGGTTCGTGTCCCGTTTGTTAGGGTACTGCCCCGCCATTCGCCTGGTGTTGATCGGAGAAACCACGGAAAACTACCGATCAGAGCAGCCGGCCGCTAGAATTCTCCTCCAGACAGCGACTGAATTCGACCTAGCTGACAAAGTGGCTGAATTCGAAAATTCTACCACCGTCGGGACTCAAACCGAGGACTTCCCGCTCAGAGGCACTACAGCGACATCACTTGATGCTCTGAGCCACCTCCGCCGCCGAAAGCGCTCGTGTGACTCGACACGGAGTATAAGAGAAGCCTGCCTTCGGGAGAGATGTGTGTTGCTTGGCGCCCGCGCCAGCCAGCAATTTGTGTCACGGCGCCGTCGCCCGGGCCGAGGGGATCTGCAATTTGAAACCTATCGCGCGAGTGCGGCCGTGGCAGAAGTCGCACTCCATCAACATCACAGGCGGCGTACGCTGCACGCGGCCAGGCGACGTGGACTGTGTTTTAAAGACGGACAAACCGTCCGCGGGTAGTGTGCATACGCCGCGCTGCTTAGGAAAGAACTCTGGCCGAGGGCAGAGGCCGCGTCAGATGAAGCAGATTATTCCGCGTTTTGACTTGTTGGCCTCTTGAGCGATTGGCCCTTCTTGTTTCTAAAAATAGGGGATAACGTTTTTGTTTTGGGACTTTCTAGGTGCCAGAATAATCATAACTAAAAATGCGAATTGCGGTTTCTTTCTATATTTAATATAAAATGTACTGTATTAACCAAAACGTTGTGGAAATAATAGGTTTTATATTATATTTAATTTTTGTAAATTGTGTCACTATCAGTGAATTGGAAACTTAGGTAGTAATAAGAGACAGTACTTTTTATAGAGCAAAAAATATTGGCGTTTTTACAAAACGTTGCAAAACTATTTTATTCTCGTACACTATGTACAACAAGTAGATATATATGATTAATTATAGCGATGGTGTAGTAAATACTTTCGAATAATTAAATATGCTTAATTAGCTTTGTTTTCGGTCCGGAAACTGCAAGCTCTGTGAATGATCGCTACACAATCGATATGATCATTAGCAAAATAAATTTTTGATACAGACAACACGTTTAATTAACCATATACGACCACTGTAATAAATTAACAGTTTTAACAAGAACAGGCTTCACGAATACTTCAGTTCTATAGTATTGTATATTTAGAGTACAACAGTTCTTTCTTCCCAAAAATATTAATAAACGTGTTTTCCATTAATC